CATATACACACACATACATTCACGCACACACGTGATTTTGTGCACCCATGCCACCATGTAGCAGTACTTCTGCTATAGGGCGGACGGGAAGCGGTTAAGTTGCAGAGGCAGTGGACAGAGACGTTTACATGTTGAGATTCCGGCAAAAAAAAATTCCCCCCCCTTGCATTCAATAGGCAGTACTGTCACCGACTGCAACACATTCAAGCGAATGGAGATGCACTGCGCTACATGCGGTTGCCACGCGTTGGCGTCACATGTATGGTGTTAAAACAGGCAGTGAGAACACCTATCGCCTGTCAAACACCTCTGAAAAGCGATCTGAATGCTGCATGCCTGAACCTAGCACGAAAGTCATATAGTTGAAGCCACAAAATGTTCACTAGCTCAGGTCTCTATATGCCATTCCAGAAGAGTAACGTGTTTCAGCTTCCCGTCATGTCAGGAGGGGAGTGCTAATATATAAAAACTCATTTACAGAATACGCCTTCCTGCACCGATGAACTTCTTGAACTGCTCTGACACCTCATTCCAGCAATCAGGTTGTGGCCTTCCCAGTAAAGGCATGAATGGAAGTTCTTGGTAAATGTGCCCCCGTGGCATAGTTCCAGATGGCCGGTTGTACGGGAAATGACCAACCGCAGCCCGACTAGGTAACAAATAATAATCGGAGATTAGCGAAGGAGCGCCTCATCAACCTGTTCACCTCCTGCCGAGCCGACATGTGAACGGAGCACTCTGTATCAGCAATAACGCCGTACAATACTGCAGATTTCTAAACCCCATCCTACAAAACTTCTACCCCTCCTGCAGGGATGTTAAAAAAAAAAATTAAAGAGTATCTATGGCCAAAGTTGAAAAATGATATTCATTTCCACATTGTATTTCAGTTATTTCCATCCTATTCCTATTAATATGAATAATCTTGAAGTTTGTAAACTTCCTTTGTGGAGACCCCACACATATCATGCCTTGAATTCTGTGACCTGTAGTCACTATGCCCTGTGGTGTCACACATTTCACAGAGCCCACCTCCTGATCTACAGAGGTGCTGGGAGGAGTTTCAGGGGGTGGAGTCAGTACAGGAATCAGCAAGGTACCATGGGACACGTAGTCCTTAGAAACAGAGGAAAAAGCTGCAAAGCATGCTGGGAATCCAGGACATTGTGCAGAGAGACAGCCAGCAGACAGGCAGCACTTACAGCATGAAAGGAATTTTTTTTAGGTAAGCTTACACTGACTGGCCACTTTATTAGGTCCACCTGTTCAATTGGTTGGTAACACAAATTGCTAATCAATCAATCACATGGCAGCAACTCAATGCATTTAGGCATCTAGATGTAGTTAAGACAACTTACTGAAGTTCAAACAGAGCATCAGAATGGGGAAGAAAGGGGATTTAAGTGCCTTTGAAAGTGGCATGGTTATTGGTGCCAGACGGGCTGGTCTGAGGATTTCAAAAACTGCCAATCTACTGGGATTTTCACACAACCATCTCTGGGGTTTACAGAGAATGGTCTGAAAAAGAGAAAATATCCAGTGAGCAGCAGTTGTATGGAGGAAAATGCCTTGTTGATGTCAGAGGAGAATGGGCAGACTGGTTGCTGCAACATTCAGATGGTAGGATCAGAATTGGTGTAAACAACTTGAAAGCATGGATCCATCCTGCCTTGTATCAATGGTTCAGGCTGGTGGTGGTGGTGTAATGGTGTGGTGGACACATCCTGCCTTGTATCAATGGTTCAGGCTGGTGGTGGTGGTGTAATAGTGTGGTGAATCCATCCTGCCTTGTATCAATGGTTCAGGCTGGTGGTGGTGGTGTCATGGTGTGGTGGATCCATCCTGCCTTGTATCAATGGTTCAGGCTGGTGGTGGTGTCATGGTGTGGTGGATCCATCCTGCCTTGTATCAATGGTTCAGGCTGGTGGTGGTGGTGTCATGGTGTGGTGGATCCATCCTGCCTTGTATCAACAGTTCCGGCTGGTGGTGGTGGTGGTGTCATGGTGTGCGGGAGATTTTCTTGGCACTAGCAAGGTGGACCGAATAATGTGGCCAGTGAGTGTATATCGGATTGTCAGATATAAATATTGTTTGTATTGTTATTACAATGTGGATATTATAAAATGAAAGTGCTTGCTGTGACCATAGGACTCCATTACACAAGTCTTTTATTAATTTAGAAATAATAGTGATAATAATATCATTTAAAGTGATATTAAAGGAAATTAAAAAAAAAAAAAAAGCAAACATCTTATACTTGCTTCCTTTTCTAGGGTCACCCACCAGTGCTCCCAGCCCCTCCGCTTCCACTGAGCGCCCCCAGAGCAAGCAGCTTGCTATGAAGGCACCCAAACAGGCTCGCTCCCGATCCGCTGCTCTGCGGGTCCATTCACACACAGAGCCACAGCTCGGCCCCACCTCTCTTCCCTCATTGGCTCACAGGCTGTGGTTGACAGTCAATGGCTCCCGCTGCAGTCTCAGCCAATGATGGAGAGTCCTGGGAGAGCCACTGCTCTCTTGCACATCTCCTTTACAACCACTTTAAAAGAGACCCAATATATAAATCTGTATATTACTACCATTATACAAGCACAGTATCATAATAAGACTTGAACTACATAAACCAAAAGCACCTTCAGTACATGTACATGGAATGAGGCCACAATTGTGATCTGTAACCAGCACAGCTTCCCTCTATCCCAGCTGATTTCAACCAAGGAAATGTGCTAAGGGTTGTATAAAGGGTGGCCATGCAAGTACGGGTGCTTTAGCCCGGGTTCACACTGATGTGGTGTGGAATTTGCAGCGTTTTCTGTGTGAATTCCGCACCGCATCAGAATCGCACCCCATTCATGCGAACCGCTGCGGGTGTGTATGTTAACAACACCCCGAAATTGGTCCACAAAACGCGGTGCGATGTGCAGAATCGTATTGCATAGGTGTGAATATCCATGCGACCAGATTCTAGTGCGGACCCAAAAAAAGGGTCTTGCACCTTTTTTTGGTGCGGATGCGGTGAGATTTCAGTCATACATAATGTATGGCTCAAATTGCACCGCACACAATTCGCATGTGATTTGAATAGGAATGCGGTGCGGTTCCTGTGTGATATAACGCACCGCATGAGTGTGAACCTAGTGTATATCCAAATACAGCCGCATCTTCTAATCCACCTCAACTGGCAGCTGCAGGGCCCGGGAGAGTGATTACGCAGGCTCTTCATGCTGTACAGCTGTGTGCTTAAAGCCATAGGAGGAGAGGTAAGATTTTGAATCTTACCTCTCCTCTGTTCTGAAATTCCTCCATAATGTCTACAGCTACAGAGGTGAATGGTTTAACCACCTTTCTGATAATGGATGAGACATTACACTACAGGTCAAAATATTTTTTTTTATAGATAGAGACACAGAGAGAGAAAGAGAGATGGAGAGGCGCAGAGAGAGAGCGCGCGAGGCGCGCGAGAGAGAGAGCGCGCGAGGCAGAGAGAGAGCGCGCGAGGCAGAGAGAGAGCGCGCGAGGCAGAGAGAGAGCGCGCGAGGCAGAGAGAGAGTGCGCGAGGCAGAGAGAGAGACCCAGAGAGACAGAGAGGCAGAGACAGAGACAGAGGCAGAGACAGACACAGAGAGAGAGAGAGACAGACACACACACACACACAGAGCACGACAGAGAGAGAGAGCGCGAGAGAGCGTGAGAGAGAGAGAGAGAGCAGAGAGAGAGAGAGCACAGGGACAGAGCGCAGAGAGAGAGAGCGCAGAGACACAGAGAGAGAGCAGAGAGAGAGCGCAGAGAGAGAGCAGAGACAGAGAGCAGAGACAGAGACACACACACAGAGCACGACAGAGAGCGCACGAGACAGAGAGAGAGCGCAAGAGAGAGAGAGACAGAGCAGAGAGGGACACAGGGACAGAGCGCAGAGAGAGAGAGCGCAGAGACACAGAGAGAGAGCAGACACAGAGCGCAGAGAGAGAGCAGAGACAGAGCGCAGAGACAGAGAGCAGAGACAGAGAGAGAGAGAGCAGAGACAGAGCAGAGACAGAGAGAGAGAGTAGAGACAGAGCGCAGAGACAGAGAGAGAGAGCGAGAGCAGAGACAGAGCGCAGAGACAGAGAGAGAGAGAATGAATAGAGGATACACACATGTAATTTAGGAAATGGGTTTCAAAGCAGGTGAGAGAACTGTAGACTTGGAGGTGCTCACTGTATAGTCTGGCATGCTTTACCTACATTCTGTGGTTCTACCAGTCAGAAGAGGAATGCGAGTTCAAAGTTACTGTAAAACATACAGAACAGGAAGAGCGGCTGAGATCAGTCAAGTTTCCATCCAAGCATCAGCTTATATGAAATGGCACAAATGTATTTCATGCTACATTTGAACTGTTCAGATTCTCCTGTGTGAGAGGAGAGTGCTTGGCCCTTTGAAGTCTTTTTTTCAGGCATGACCCTAAGTATATGTAAACCCTCACCATGTAAAACAACAAATGCAGTATAAAATAGAAATCAAAAAGGTAAAAAACATTTATGTATGAATTAAAATAAAACAAAAAACAAAATACCCCCACCCCCTTTTTTTTTTCTAGAAGCGATCAGTGGGCAGACTTCCATGTCATCAGATACCCTGATCAGCACTGCAGGCTGTATTCTGGCAGCAGGGAAGTCCCTCAACTGTCGCAGCAGTAGGAATCGTGTGTGTGGATGGGGGAATCGAGTAATTTTCTTTTGTTCAACACATTGGACTGGAAGCAATAAGAGGACCAAATGATGGCAACAATGAGTTTACATTACTAAAGGCACAAAAACGTTTAGAGATATATGGGCAGGATGGATATACAACTCTACTGAAGAGGCAGAGACTTGAGTTCAGGGTAAAGTGCGGATATAAGTGGCTTATTATTTCCAGGCATACGTATGGGAAAAAGATATAGACCTGACAGAGCACACCGGTACAACTGGTTTTCTTGCTTAGACAACAGATTTTAGGATTACTTCAGCTGTTCACACAAGGGACCCTTGGTTTATAGTTTGATTCTCAGTGTTACTACACCCCGGACCCCGCATTCACTATATCCGGTCTCCCCCGGACCCCGCATTCACTATATCCGCTCTCCCCGGACCCCGCATTCACTATATCCGCTCTCCCCCGGACCCCCGCATTCACTATATCCGCTCTCCCCGGACCCCGCATTCACTATATCCGGTCTCCCCGGACCCCGCATTCACTATATCCGCTCTCCCCGGACCCCGCATTCACTATATCCGCTCTCCCCGGACCCCGCATTCACTATATCCGCTCTCCCCGGACCCCGCATTCACTATATCCGCTCTCCCCGGACCCCGCATTCACTATATCCGCTCTCCCCGGACCCCGCATTCACTATATCCGCTCTCCCCGGACCCCGCATTCACTATATCCGCTCTCCCCGGACCCCGCATTCACTATATCCGCTCTCCCCGGACCCCGCATTCACTATATCCGGTCTCCCCGGACCCCGCATTCACTATATCCGGTCTCCCCAGACCCTGCATCCACTATATCCGGTCTCCCCGGACCCTGCATTCACTATATCCGGTCTCCCCGGACCCTGCATTCACTATATCTGGTCTCCCCCGGACACTGCATTCACTATATCTGGTCTCCCTAGACACTGCATTCACTATATTTGGTCTCCCCGTACCCTGCATTCACTATATCCGGTCTCCCCGAACCCTGTATTCACTATATCCACTCTCTCCCAGGACCCCGCATTCACTATATCCACTCTCTCTCCGGACCCCGCATTCACTATATCCGCTCTCCCAGGACCCTGCATTCACTATATCCACTCTCCCACAGTACACAGAGCATGGAAATGCAATTATTTTAGTAAATATAAACTGCTAAATACTTTTTCTCATCAGCAGTTAGAGCAGTCTTGTGACTTCTATCAGTGTCCAGCAGAGCACTGGTTGCTTATTAACCCTGTGTTGATCACATGCACTCTCCCAAAGAAAAGGAAAAAAAAACTCTAGCAATAAACACCAAACTGAGCATGTGCAACTTACCCCCAAGGCTCTGTTCTATCAGCACATGAAGGGGAGGATCAGAGAAGACAGGATAAAACAGCCTTTTTACACAATGCAGAGGATTAACCCCTTAGGTTCCACAGCGAGTATAACAAGCATGCTTTACTGCATATGGGCAGCACAGTGGCTAAATGGTTAGCACTTCCGCCTGGCAGTACTAGGGTCGTTGGTGCAAATCCTCCCTGTGCCTGCGTGGGTTTCCTCTGTGTAATCAGGTTTCCTCCCACACTCCAAAGACATGCTGGTAGGCGAATTGGATCCTGTCTAAATTGTCCCTAGTATCTGTATGTATGAATGTGAGTTAGGGACCTTAGATTGTACACCCCTTGAGGGTTAGGGACTGATGTGAATGTACAATATATATGTAAAGTGCTGCGTAAATTGACGGCACTATATAAGTACCTGTAATAAATAATATACAGACTGATTTTACTGTTGTGGGGTTAGTGACATTTTAAGGTATTTTTTCTGTTTTTGCGCTTTTCAGTGTCTAATCCTAGTTTCGCTTAAGTCTTGCTTTGATATCATGAGCCCCATAGTACTGTCATGGACCCAGCAGTCATGGCGGGAATTCATAGGAAGCCTGATATTGTTGACCCATCCTGTCTGCTATCCCCTCAGTCTGTCATGTACGTTTCTGGAATTTGTCTGACAGTATTGTTATTACAGAATACCATACTGCCTGATGACGTCCGATTCTTGTTTGTGGAGGTACAAAATTCCCAATAAATATTTGATTATAGAAAAAAAAAAAAAGGATGGATTAGGGTCAGTTTATTAGAATGTAAAAAAGGGACTGGTCTCCAGATGTGTACCCCACATTTTGCCATTCTCAAAACAAAACAAAATTAATATGGAAATTCCCTTTAATGAAGTATTTCCTTCCTGTCGTGAAACTACCTGTTAATTTACATTTTTCAGAATGACTCCCCTCTAATGCTTTGTATGGTGCTTTGTAACTAAGGTACTCAAAAGCAGGGTGGATTTGATTTAAATCACGATTTAAATCACTAGTCAGTAAGGCTTGATTTAAATCCTAGTTTTCTACATAAAGACTAATTCTTGCTGGTATAACTTTAAAATGTAAGTAGATGAAGATTTTTAGAATAACAACTTTTCATATTAGTTTTTTTATCCCCAGTTTAATAGGGTTAATCATTCATATTTGGACAACTTTTCTGTTGTACTTAGGAAGGAGAAAAATAATCATTACCTTAACCTCCCTAGCGGTGTTCCTGAGTGTAGCTCGGGGTAAAATGTCAGTACCAAAAGCGGTAACCCCGAGCTACACTCGGGCTTACACTGCGGCGTTGCTCAGGGATACCCTGCAGCACTTACCTTGTCCTTCGCTCCCGCGATGTGTCCCCTGCAGCGTCCTCGGCCATCTCCTCCGGCCGATGTCGGCATCCGGCTCCTGTTTTTCCGGTCCCTGTGACGTCAGGACATACGGGCGCCGCCGGCGGCGGCGGGAAATTTGAAAATTTAAAAAAAATTTCATTTTTTTTCAAAACGATTTTACCTAGTAAAACATTGCTGTTTCAACCCATTTCACATACATTTTGTCCCTTGTGCTCAGTCCTGTCCCGTCTGCATTTTGAATGTTCTTTCTGCCTGGAAACTTAGAAAAGTCCATGGCGTCCAAAAAGTGTCCCTTTAGGTCAAAAGCGTTTTAGACCGGCTAAAGAACAGCGATAGTAAATCAGAACCACTTGCAGAATTGAGTGATAATGATTTGTAGGGAAATTCCTCATCACACTGAAAACGATTCTGCAACTTTGCTCAGCGATGTGCGAACTTGGCGCTATATTTCACATTTCAGTGTTTTTGGTTTGATTATATTATTTTTTATGATTATTAAATTATAATTTATGATTTTGTGTTTCAAATTTTATCATATCCGGAATGTTTAATAGACTCTTGTTCGGACAGATTTCAGTGAGTTATTCCTAAATATTACAGCCTACAATAAAAAAACTACATATTTCCATGCAAAATAATGGTACCGCTGTCAGCACCAAAAATCTGAAATAATCATACCGCCAGGGAGGTTAATAATAACAATTTAAATAGATTTATTCATCTGAAACAATAACATTCCAGCAGATGTGATTTGCTTAAACATCCATGTTTGTTAACTAAGTTGGCTAAACAAAATATATATATTTGAAAAAAACTTAGACTGTCAGCCCCTCCCTCCTCGCACTGTCAGCCCCTCCCTCCTCGCACTGTCAGCCCCTCCCTCCTCGCACTGTCAGCCCTCCCTCGTCGCACTTCAGCCCCTCCCTCCTCACACTTAGTTTCACTTTCTTCTTGTGCAGATCTATTCCACTCCAAACAATCAGAAAAATATTGTTTCTATTCTATTCACTGAACTTCTTGAAACTTAGCAGTGAAGGGGTTGATTCTGTATTCATAGGTTTGTAGAAGTTAGGATGAAGGTCTTTTTCTTAACTCTGTTCATGTTATAACATTTTTGCTGTGAAGAAGAGGCATGTGATCTCCGCTGAGTCAAATTCAGTTTTGAGAACTGCAAAAGTAAACCGATCATCTGTGATAATATCTTGTAGGCAGAGAAACTGCCCAATAATCATACAAAAACCTCTGGAAGAGCATGACATTGTGAATGGATTCATGGAATTTATTTACCAAAAAAATTAAACATATACAGCCTTATTCTACATAATTAAAAAAAACATCTTTATTTCATAATGGAATAACCTTTGGATGGTAATATATTTTCCTCAAAAAGCATTTTATTTAAAAAAATCCGATTTAAATCAAAAAAAAAAAAATCCGATTTAAATGTAAAAAAAATCCGATTTAAATGTAAAAAAAATCCGATTTAAAAAAAAAAATCCGATTTAAATGTAAAAAAAATCATTTAAATGTAAAAAAATCCGATTTAAATCGGATTTTTTTTTAAAAATCAGATTTTTTTTTTGATTTAAATCGGATTTTTCTTCATTTAAATCAGATTTTTTCTTTAAATCAGATTTTTCTTTAAATCAATTTTTCATTTAAATCAGATTTTTCATTTAAATCGGATTTTTTCTTCATTTAAAATTTTTCTTCATTTAAATCGGATTTTTCTTCATTTAAATCGGATTTTTTTTGATTTAAATCAATTTTTTTTTTGATTTAAATCGGATTTTTCTTCATTTAAATCAGATTTTTTTTTATTTAAATCAATTTTTTTTTAAATCAGATTTTTCATTTAAATCAGATTTTTCATTTAAATCAGATTTTTCATTTAAATCAGATTTTTCATTTAAATCAGATTTTTCATTTAAATCAGATTTTTCATTTAAATCGGATTTTTCTTCATTTAAATCGGATTTTTCTTCATTTAAATCGATTTTTTTTGATTTAAATCAGATTTTTTTTTTTGATTTAAATCGGATTTTTCTTCATTTAAATCAATTTTTTTTTATTTAAATCAGATTTTTCTTTAAAAGATTTTTCATTTAAATCAGATTTTTCATTTAAATCAGATTTTTCATTTAAATCAATTTTTCATTTAAATCAGATTTTTCATTTAAATCGGATTTTTCTTCATTTAAATCGGATTTTTCTTCATTTAAATCAGATTTTTTTTATTTAAATCAGATTTTTTTTTTGATTTAAATCGGATTTTTCTTCATTTAAATCAGATTTTTTTTTTGATTTAAAATCGGATTTTTCTTCATTTAAATCAGATTTTTCATTTAAATCAGATTTTTCATTTAAATCGGATTTTTCATTTAAATCGGATTTTTCATTTAAATCGGATTTTTCATTTAAATCGGATTTTTCATTTAAATCGGATTTTTCATTTTCGGATTTTTCTTCATTTAAATCGGATTTTTCTTTTTTAAATCGGATTTTTTCTTCATTTAAATCGGATTTTTCTTCATTTAAATCGATTTTTTTTTTTTTTTTTATTTAAATCAGATTTCTTTTATTTAAATCAGATTTTTTTTATTTAAATCAGATTTTTTTTTTATTTAAATCAGATTTTTTTTTTATTTAAATCAGATTTTTCTTTAAATCAGATTTTTTCTTTAAATCAGATTTTTCATTTAAATCAGATTTTTTTCATTTAAATCAGATTTTTTTTTTTATTTAAATCAGATTTTTTTTTATTTAAATCAGATTTTTTTTTTATTTAAATCGGATTTTGTTTTTATTTAAATCAGATTTTTTTTATTTAAAATCGGATTTTTTTTATTTAAATCAGATTTTTTTTATTTAAATCAGATTTTTTTTTTATTTAAATCAAAAAAATCCGAT